CGACCACGCCCCTTTTACAGCCTTCAGCCTAGATGGTCCCGCCCCAGGAACTCTTGCTGTGACCAAGAGGCAAAAGGAAAGATGTCATTCCACCTAAACACAAGAACCCTCATGGTAAAACTCAAGGTAGGCATCAAATCATTTTAATCCTCTTTATTTTATAACATGAGACTTTCCATGACAGAACACTTGTGTCCCAGAACCATCTGAGTCTCCTGAGTACCTTCTCAGAGCAGTCAGTGAAAGCATACACTCTAACCCCACAGCTTTTCCAGGACACTGTGCCTCTGACTGCCCTTGTTCCTGCCCTATCCACTCCCTCAGTCTAGGCCCTGCATGGAAGGCAAGAAAAGGGGGAAGCTAACTAGACCGAGAGATGAAAAGTGTGTTGTAACTGATCTGTCACACCCACAGATGGGTCACAGCATGGAAAGTTGCCTTCTCATTGGTCATCGAGCAGCCTGGTCACACAGTGAGATTAATCAGCTGCCTTCCTTCTACAGATCTGACAGCAAGTCATAAAGAGCATCAAAGGCCTTGCAGCAGAGTGGTGTAAACAGACCCACAGCTCAGGCATCCTCAGGCCCCAGGAGGCACAACAGGTAGGCGACACCAGGCTCTATGCTAGCACTCCAAGGTACCACCCATCCCAGGGCCCATGCCTGGTAGGGAGCTCTTTGGTATTGGTAGTTTCTGAGTGGGACATGTGAATGCAGCTATAACACAGTCTACCTTGAAGGCTGACCATTTATATCTGCCCTAGAGAAATTTCCTGGTTAGAGATTTTGTATTTAATATTCACAAAGACCACGTCTAGAGCAAACAACAAAGAGATCTCGAGGTGTGCTTTGAACTGCCGCCATCTTCCCCTTTGCCATTCTTTCTGGTTGGTTGTGATCAGAGCCACTCCCAGGCAGCTGCTAGATGACCTTCCTTGGAGATACTGCCCCAGGACCAGTTGCTTTTCGATTTATAATGTCCTCTCCTCTGCAGCCGACTATCATCCCATACAAACTTATTACTTGGCAGTGAACATGTTTTCTAGAGTAATTCTATTAGTGAGTCTGCCATGCTGTCCTACCAGTAACAGCAGCTTCAAATAACAACATACAGCCGGAAACACTGGCTATCCACTTCCTGGTTTACCACTGTTCCTCAGGTGCCTGGTTTCACTAAGCCAAAAAAGGACCCTGGGAGGGATAAGTGTTGCTGGGTGCTGGATGAAGTGTGAACATGGCAAGGGCCCCAGCACAGCCTGTGAGTGACAGTTACACAGAGGACTTAGTTCTCCCTCTCACTTCTCTTCCCATTATCTATTTTAGATCCCTATGCTTCTGCTCCCTTCCTATCACTAACCCATCTCAGCCCTGTTGTAAACACTTAAGGTTTATGATTCAAGCCAGATAAGAACAGACTCTAGGCCAGGAGCTCCAGTAGATCCACAATTCTTCCCTTTTGTTAGAACTATTGCAGAATAGAGAAAGACCTTGACTGAAATGTCTGTCTCTAAACTTCATGTGTAAAGTAATGCACACATTTTCCCTTGACATGGTGATGTTTTACTTAAGGTCTTAGGCTACTCCCCAAAAGTCCATTTAATGCATGACCTATGTGGTACAGTCTGGAACCCCAGATCTGGAGTTAGGAGTCTGCGGCTAGCCTTGCCAGTGGGGTCAGTCTGGCTCCCGCAGGGTGGAAGGAACCTGCTGGCACAGGGGGATGTCCATGCAGCTGAATGCATGCCCACTTTGTTGTATGCCTGCCCCTCACATCCCTTCTTCTCTGGGTGAGAGGGCCCGAATGTCTTTCCCTAAAAATCCTACACTCCAGCACCTTGACAATCTTTGAAGGCCCAAATGCAGATGTTGCCTCTTTCTGCTGAACTATGTATGGTCAGTAGCCCAGCTTGGCTATACAGTGTTGGGAAGAAATTGGAGCTGCTGCCTAAAGGAAGGTCAATGGCTGAACTATAACCTGTCCATAGACTTCTAAGTCTTTAGAAAGACATCCAGAACAAACGGACGTCTTTCACTAGGCAGCCCTGGCTGACCTGGGACTTGTTATGTAAACCTGTCTGGCTTCAAACTCAGAGGTTTGCCTGTCTCAGCCTCATGAGTGCTTGGGGCAAAAGGCGTGCATCAGCACGCCTAGACATTCCTACTTTTCAAAGCAACCTCCCTTTCTACCTGTGCTTTAAAAACAAATGGATTTCCCTTCTTGCTTCCGTGGCACCAGCAGGTCCCAGTTTACACCCATGAACCTCGAGTGCACAGGCATCCTGTGAGTTGAGATCAGGCTGGAACAGTGTTTTCCCAAGTAGCACATTCATGATTTACCTTTGCTTGTTCTCAAAACCGTGGCATCAAATGAAGAGGCAGACGCCCACTAACAGGTAGGACTCAGAGAGAGATGCTGGGCCAGAAATGTGGATTTACTCACACTGGCGTGCTAGTGTACACTGCCATGGGAAGTCAGAGCAAAGGAATGCCATACATCCCCCACCAACCTGGACGTTTGTGGAAGACAATCAGGAATTAACATAAGCTGGACTGGAGTATAGCTCACTGGGAGAGCACTTGCCTATCGAGCAAGAAGCCGGGGTTTACTTCCCTGCACTATTAAGACAACTATGAGTTAATTAGGAACGAACATACCTAAGTGAGAACAAAAAGGGAGCCATTTAAGAAGGGAGATACTTTCATAAGTGAGTAAACAAAACACCCCAACTCTACAGGATTCTGCATGCACTCCTATTCACTCTAGCTACCTCGAGGCAGTAATTACTTTAAGTATGAAAACAGGAGCATGGACTTGGCTGGGGAGAGCAAAGAATCCTCTTGCTGGATTCCAGCACATGGTTGCAACTGATGTCTGCTATCAGCTTCAAAAGGGAGCAGCCTCATTAAGAAATGGCACACCACCATGGGAGCAGGAAAGGGCTGTGCATAGACTGTGAGCTGGTAAGGAGGGAGCCAGCTCTACCTCCCTGTTATGGGGGCTGAAGACTCCCCTCCTTAGGGAGCGCTTCTCTCTGTGCAGTCCCCAGCCTGCAGCACACAGCCAAGCTGTCCTTATCTGTTTTCTCAGCCTTCCTTACTGCCACCCTCAGTGACACATCAAGCAAACAGAGCTCCTGCCCAGTTCTTCCAGGCCCTGACAAGTGCTTATTAATGCTGGCCACACCCATTAGAGCCAGAACTGGCCTCATCAGCCTTTTGAGTTTTCAGTGGTAGAAAAGGTGCAAAAAGCAAACAAACAAACAGCACAACCCCGCCCCCTCCAGCTAGGGACTGACATAGGTCACACAAATTGGAATAGAGAACTCAGTACAGGGTTTCTTTGCTGCTCTTTCCTCAGGCTCCCAGTGTGAAGCAGGAAGCATTTCTCAGGAGCCAGAGGCCAGGAGCACCCAGAGGGCATGGGCAGCTCCTCTGACCTAGCTTCTTAGAAGCCACGCACTAAGTCCTACTGCAGTTTTAAATTTCAAAATAACTGAGACAGAGGAAGTGGCGGACTTGCTTCCCTCAGCAACCCCTCTAAAACTTAACCCAGTACCCAGCGCTCTTGGAGCAGTGGGCTAACATTTGGATGGAGTGGTGTGGGCTGGTAGGAGAGCTGCCACAGCCCTCTGAGGTCCCTGCACACTGTCACATGCAGTGGAAGGATGTCCTCTGCCTTAGATACAACCACCATGGCATGGGGGACAGGAGAACTCACTTCATGAGAACCAAGACCTCATTATTTAGTTTTTGATTTCTTTTCCTTTTTTTTTTTTTTTTTTTTTTTTTTTTTGAGACAGGTTCTCACTATGTAGTTCTAGCTGTGGCCTGGAACTCACTATGTACAAGAGGCTGGCTTGGAACTCACAGAGATCCATCTGCCTCTGCCTCTGCCTTCTGAGAGCTGGGAGTAAAGGCGTGTGTCACCACACCCAAACACATTATTTTATTTTTTCAAAGTAACTTTAAGCAATAGAAATTGAAGCCCTGGTAACCAACCCTAAGCTTCTAATATAACATCTTGTTCCATTAATTTAAAGAGTTTCTCTTTTTGAGGGAGAGCAGGCATGAGATGCTGGGGATCAAGCCCGAGTCTCAGGTATACTTTATTATAAGGGCCACACTCTCAATGAAGACTAGAATTCTTGCTGAATAGAAGACTAAAGAGGAGAGGGTGAAAAATGGCAGAAAGGTGATCAGACTGTACATGGGAACCCTGGAAGAAAAGCATCACTAATCTTGTAACAAAAGCTTGCGATGGATTTTGCCCCAACACCTGTCCAAGAGTTTCTGGGGCTTGCTCTGATTTTTAAAGTAACTAGATGCCAGAACTCTATACTTTTTGGTTTTGTTTTTCTCGAGACAGGGTTTCTCTGTCCTGGAACTCATTCTGTAGAGCAGGCTGGCCTTGAAATCAGAGATCTGCCTGCCTCTGCCTGCCATGGGAAGGGAGGGAGATACATCTTAAGAATATGTTTGCTTGCCCCAAGAACTCCTGAGAAGCCCCAGAAAATCATCCAAGCGACCCTCTGACTCCACAGCACTGTGCATTGTAAAAGCATGAGGCAGAAGGCTCTTCTAAGGTAGTGTTTGGTAACAGTGGGGAATGGGCACTGCAGGTAACTTGGCTTTGCCCTGTTTGCAGGAACCCCACCTGGCTGACGGTGGTATTGCACTGATCCTCACATCACTGTGAATGGAGGCAGGGCAGGGTGTGACTGCTATTCTGCAAATGAGGAAGTGCAGCCAAGTGAAGGATGGCTGGGTGGGCCTGGAGGTCACACAGGAGGCACTGGCAGGTGACAGCCCAGCCTGGAGATTTCACATACTGGTCCCTGTGTTGAGGGATAGTAAGAAAAACGCTGCTTTGGAAGAGGGTGGGAACTGAAAGGGACAGTTTAATAACATCCAGGAGGGGAAGAATGTAGAAGTGCCAAACACATCAGCTATGAAATCGTGAAGCTCCTCCCATTTTTCTAACACCCTGACATTATGAAATACCTTTGCTTCGTCATTGATGTCCCAGGTGAAGGAGATGGCGTTATAAGCAATCTCTTCAATGTTGCTGATCGTATTGAAGCTTTCTTTGTAGTCAGCTACATGAGGCAAAGGATGAGAAAAAGAGTCACAACTGTTAGTTCTGATGTGCGATCATAGCGGACCAAGAAATACTCAGTTTTCTGCATCATCCTCTGAACGATTTGAAATAGCATATTGTTGGGTTGAAAGAAATTCCCAAATAAAGGAGGAAAAAATAATTCCAGGACTCCTTTTTTTTTTGTTTTGTTTTGTTTTGTTTTTAATAGTGGCAAGCTTAAATATAGTTAATTCCATATCATTGAGTCAAAATTAGGAAGTTTAAGCCTAAAAAGTTTAAGCAATGGTCTCAAGGTCCAAAATTGATCTGTGGAACCAAGATTAGAACTTTATTCTTCTAAGTTGGGTGTGGAGGCACATGCCTATAATTCCAGAAATTGGAAGGCAGAAGCAGGAAGATTTTGGTGTGAATTCAAGGGCAGCTTGGGATATGCAATCAGTTCAAGACCAGACTGAGCTACCTCAAAATACCTTGTCCCAACAAAAAGAGACTCAGCTCTTCTGGTTCTTACAGAAAAGAGAGCCATAGAATTTCAGAAGGTAAAGAAACAGGAGCCCCAAGGTGGGCAGCTATCTGTTAGCACATGATGACAGGAGCCCCCAGGTGGAGGGCTACCTGTTGGTAGATGATGGTGCTGTGTGAGACTGGAAACCGAAAGGGAACAAACGCTTTGAAGAGCTGTACCCTGGGAATCCACCACTGGGTTATTACAGACCAGTGAGTTCAGCAACTTAGCTCAGGGCATAGCTGGAGAAGTGATTTCCTTTTGCACATTTGGAAACCTCCTTATCATTATCTCTAAATAAACTCCAGCATCTCCTAATGAAGACAGTTCTGCACCCCTGAAAATGTGCAGACTGAGTGGTTGTCTAGCATGTATGCAGCCCCAGGGTTCCATCCCCAGCAGAGAAAGGGATAAAAAGAAATATAGGCTCAAAGTAAGACACTCCTGTTGATTGGCTAATAAAGTTTCTGGCTCCAGGGTCATGTGGCAAACCAATGCCTGGCACAGGCCCCAAGAAGGAAGTGAAGATGGGAGTCCTGATTCCGGGAGGCCCAGGACACTGCCTGGAACACACCAGTGGCTGGCAATGAAATCCAAACACTTTTGGCAGGAAGGTCATCATGACCAAAAATTGGAACCTGGCAGGCCAGGCACTCGAATCTGGGAGAGGGAAGGTGGGCTCCTGGCCACTCACCGATGTCAATGCACCTCTGCTTGGCTGTGTGCTGCCGGGAGTGCCAATATTTCCAGTGTCTTAGCTGGTCTTCTCTGCTTTTGTCCTCAGCGAAAACCACCATGATCACGCTCTGAGAATGCAGTGTAAGGACACCAGGGGGTGAGCAACTTCAGGGAAATCATTTGTTGTTAGATCTTACAGTTAAGGCTTAAAGTAACACTGGGGGCAAGAAGGGGGGGTGTAGAGAAATGTCCTATTGGTTAAGAACACTTGCTGCTCTCCCAGGGGACCAGAGTTCTGTTCCCAGAACCCACATCTGGCCTCTTTTAACAACCTGTAACTCCAGTTCCAAGGGAGCTGATGCCCCCGAGGGCATGGCTAATGTGCACAGCCACAGATCATAGGAATGAAAGTAAAAATAGTCCTTGAAAACAACCCACCAGCCCTGGCACTTTCAGGCCTGTATGCAGTGACAAGGACCCGGAAGTATTTGGACCTAGGGTCATCTGACAGAAGCTTTTTGGGAGAAGAACAGAATCAGGTATAGAACTTACTCGAACTTTGCTGATCGGATGATGAATCCCTTCGTTGCTGCTTACTTCTTTTAAGGTGACAGGATAGAACTGGCCTTTGTTCAGGTATGTCATAGTGCTATCCCCTTGCTTCTGCCGAAGTGACTTGGAGGCTTCTAGGGTATACTCAAAGTTGTTCCTACAGGACAAAGAAGCACCAGGTTTTGGGGGCCAATCTCTTGGAAGCTTCCAGTACATGCCTCTGTGTGTGTGTGTGTGTGTTTGAGTGCATGTGCATGTAGGTTACTGAGACAGAAGAACACCAGCAAACACCCATCTGACTGTGCAGTTGCCCCCTTTTCTTGATAAACAGGGTCCTAAACACAGGTGCTTCATGATCAGAGATTCTCAGATTGTAGGCCACGAAATACTGATTACAAGTTCTATGACATAATGTTAACAACCAGACGTCTGAATGCCTGGGCTACAAATGACATCAGGAACTGAACAGGTGGTAGCAGGATGCTCTTGGGGCTTGCTGCCAATTTGGTCTTTATGGAGCAAAGGCTGCAAACTGGCACTCTCTTGCAGCTCCCACCCGCAATTTGTCTCAAGACAGGTACACCATGATTGCCTGTGTCTCCTATTACTTTATACAACCACTCAGAACTTTCCTAGACTGGATGTCAGTCAATTACACCTATGCTTTCAAATAGTTTTATTAGAACATAGCCTCACCACTCATTTATGTCTTATCTGCAGACCCCTTTTTCATTATCTAGCCCACAGAGCCTAAAATATTTGCTATCTGACATGTCACAGAGCTTGCCAGCTTTATCCCAAACCATAATGTTTGTGAGTTTGTGATCCTTGAGCCTTGAGACATACTTACAAAAGGAAGTCTAAATCCCACAAATCCAGAAAACAAGGGCTTTACACGTATTTATTTCCCTATGTATGTATGTATGTATGTATGTATGTATGTATGTATGTATCTATCTATCTATCTATCTATCTATCTATCAATCATGTGTGTGGTGGTCAGAGGACAACTTGTAGGAGGTTCCCTGCTTCTACCTTGTGGCCTCCAGGGACTGAACTAGGATCATTAGGCTTGGTGGCAAGTGCCTTTACCCACTAAGCCATCTCATTGCCCCCCCTTTAAACTGAAAAATATGATGCAGTTAGACACATAAAATAAAAAAATGAAATCCTAAACTTTAAAAACAATCTTGAAGTGTCTGTATAATTCTTATGAACCTAGAGAATGCTATTTCCAGAGTAGGGTGTAAATTTGCTAAGTTAAAACAAGTCACTGGGTTAAAGAAAAAAAGTTACATTTGTTTATTTTATCATTAACAAGAATAATAAAGTCCTTTGTTCACTTAATTTACCCCCAAACTGTCAGCTATATACATACTTTTAGGAACAGACCGCTCTAGTGATCTACCTTAATCCCCATCTCTCTCCTTCAGATTGCATCCCACCATACCACAGAAGGGAGCCAGGGAAGGAAAAACACCAGCACCAGTGGGTGAGGAAGCCGAAAACCAGAGTCCCGCATTGGATCACCACAGGAAAAGTTCCCTACCCAAGGTAAGGCCACAGCTGGCAGAGTCACAAGAAGGCAAAAGCGCACCAAAGTCACCTCAGATTTGTCAGGATCAACACACCAAAAAGAGAAGAGACCACAGAGGCTGAAAATCCAAAAGTCAAATAAAAAGACAACTATTACCCAGAAACACTGTCAAACACATAGTCCTCTGAATTCATGCCCGGCATCCGAAGACTGAGGTCCGAGGGGAAGAAAACCTGAAATAGCAATGTAGTGAGCCACAACCATTTAACCATCATCATGGTTACTAAAGACCAGGGTCTGGTATGGACACAGCATGTGGCGTACGGTAACCCACAACTCCATGAGGCTCTTTTCAAAGTAAGGAGTTTAGAGCTATTAAAAAATTTAAACTAAGAAAAATTATAAAAAGTAAATATTAGCCTGGAGGTGGTATCTCACACCTTTAATCCCAGCATTCGGGAGGTAGAAGCAGGCTGATCTCTGAGTTCAAGGCCAGCCTGATCTACAGAGCTAGTTCCAGGATAGCCTCCAAAGCAATACAGAGAAATCCTGTCTCAAAAAACAAAACATGAAAAACAAAACAAATATAAAAAGTAAATATCTAATTTTATAAAGCACTCACCTGAATAACCACACATGCACAGACATACACATACATACTCTTCACACACACACACACACACACACACACACACACACACACACACACTCTTTATACACACACTCTTCACACACACATACATACACCACATGCACAGATATGTGTATACACACTTTTCACATACATTCTCCCCACACACATACACTCTTCACACACATGCACACAGATATGCACATACATTCTTCACACATTCTCCACACATACACATTCTCCATTCACTCACACTCTCTACACACACACACACACAGACACACTCACTCTTCACACACACCACACTCTCTTCAGACATGCATACAGATCACTCACATACACTCTCTTCAGACATACACACAGACACACTCACACACACCCTTCACACACACAATCCACTAGTCCCCTTCTCTTATCTTTCCCACATACCACATGTTCAGAGTCTAGAAACTGTAGCCAAAATACAGGGGCCAGGAGTCAAGCTTGCACCAGGCTGGACAAGTCTGCTGCCCTTTCCTGGACAGTGTCAGTTTCTACACATAGAAGTCCCTCCAGGGGCAGTAAGACCACCTCCAACACCCTAAGTGCCTATCTTCTCCCTGAGTGCCATCTGTATGACCAGACCTTTCTGACCCCCAGGGATCATAGACTGCCCAGATTCTGTATCACACCACAAAATAAGCAAAACCCAATGAAGATTTGACAGCTCCATGCTAGGCCAGCTCAGTAGCTTGCTTGGGTCCAGAAGGCAAACTCAAGAAATGCTATAGGAACATAGTTGTGGTCAGTGGAAGATTGTGCATGGGCTTCCTTTCTCCCCCACTCCCCCAGAAAATCTCTTAGCAGAAACCATAATTGTTAACTCAGCTGTTGGTAAGATTACCCATGTGCCCTTGATGATAATTTTTGGATTTGTAGGTTTAGCTTACAAATTATACCTACGGACCTTTCTTTTAAAAAAAAAAAAAAAATCTTTTTATTCCTGATCCACTTGTTCTGGGCTAAGTTTCAAGCTTACATAACCAGGAAAAGGTGGAACCCAATACTTAGACAAACATGCTGCCGTCTTAGGAAGATGTTTTTGTCTTTTGTACCTCCTGAACACCCTCCTTGAAGGTCTCTGAGAAGGTAGAGTCTGGAGTCCTCCGCTGAGCATTGGGTGGCTGAGTGCTGGGGCTGAACTGGTCAGTGCTGAGGTTTCGGTCAAACACCACCACACGCTCGGCAGGCTCTGGATGGTACACTGACGGGGGGATTCCCACAGCAAAGCCGTGTGGCTGGATTTCTGTCTTGATGGAGTGGGTAGGCATGGTTGCTATGGAGACAGTGACTGTTGTATCAGGAGCTGTCAGGTGGCCTCTCTTATCAGTGCCCAGCTGGTTGCCATGAGGGAGGACAATGTTGAAGGGCACATTTTTCAGCACTTGCACCCTGTTTTCCCCAGCAGAAATGAGGGGCTGCTCTGTCACGTTTGGCATGCTGCTCCTTCGAGAAAGGAGAAAGGACATTATATTTTCAACCTTGGTGTTGATACAGAGTTTTGATGCTTTGGGAGGTGCAGGTGCTGGGGGCCCAGGGCATACTAAGCAATGCTCTGTACATACAACCTGAGGCAGGAAGATTGGAAGCTGCACCAACCGGGACAGCTTGAGACCCATTCTCAAAATAAAGGTTTTCCCTGTGGCTGTGTCACATCAAAAGACTAGACATGGCTGCAAATGTTAGTACATTTTGAGTTTATTTCCAGACACTCCAGCAAAAGTATATAAATGAAACATGAATTAATTCTAGCGTGAAGGAAGAGGAAAGAACAGCCTTACCATTATAGCTGTTGCCTGGCAATGGATATACACTCACTTCTAACATTTCTCCTTTTATCTTGCTCAAAAAGGTTCATAACAAAGTGTAAAAAATAAAATCTATACATAAGCCATTCTCCAAAAAATAATCATGCAGTTTTAAATAGCAACATGGAGAATACTTCTGAAACAAATTATGTGGAATAAATGCACACTTCCAAAAACTACCTGTATCTAAGTGCAGCAGCCATGTTAAAGAAATAATTGTCAGGAGTGTGGAATATGAACCGTTACTCATTCCTTAAATCAACTTCTGTTCCCTTCCCTTGCAAGATGGGATTTGACTGTCATAGCCCAGACTGGCTTTGAAACTCCTGCTTAAGGCTCCCTAGGATTGCAGGTATCTGCTATCATGCCCAGTTGTTGTACTTCTTACTACTAATAAAACATGGGTCAATTTAAAAGCTATTTTTAGTGCCAGCAAGTGCTTGCCACCAAGTCTGATGACTTGAAGGGGGACTTCTCTTAATCTATCCTCTGACTGTCACACACATGCCTTGGTATGCACAAACATGTTCATGCACACAAATAAAATAAATAGATGTAAAATGTATCTTTTAAAAATGTTTCATGGCCATAAGGTTGAGTTGTAACTAATTTACTAAAGTTTTAACCTAAAATGCCTTCAAGAGGAATTTGGACATTAACTCCTTGAGTTTTACTCAGGCAACTATTCTGGAGTCATTGGTGTCTTTCTGTTTTTTGTTTTTTGTTTTTTTTTTTCTTTTTGTAGATCTGGGGAGTGAACCCAGGACCCTGTCCATGCTAGGCAAGTGTTCCATCACAAAACTGCACCCCAAGCCTTGCTTTGTCTGAAGAGGGCTCTCCCAAGAATCCAGGCTAGCTAGAACTCCTAACAGGAGCCTCCTGCTTCTGCCTTCCAGGTACTGGGTTTACAGATATGTGCCACCACACTTGGATGGTTTTTAGACTCTTCCCGCTTTAGATGAACAAACACTTCAGGTTTTACTAAAAACACCCCTCTGGAGGAGTAGAGCTTGATGTATGTTTTTTAGGAAAAGGAACCCTGCCTAAATAAACAGTAACTTCACAGAGTAGCAGCAAATCAGCAACAGAATCTAATGCTGAGATGACGGCCACTCTACTGTCTCTTCCACCAGGCCATTCTGGCTGACTCTTGGAGCCTGGCCACCTCTTCATGATAATACCAGTGTGTACCGGCTGCCACACTTACCTTTTGCTGTGCTCTGGTTCTGGGTGATCCCCCTCTGGCTTTGCTGCTGACGACCGACGCTCTCTGGGAACCTACAGCGTCAACACCAATGAAAGGGATTCAGTCCTTTTCCAGGGGAGAAGCCTTCGGCTTTTATTTCTCAGGACTCACTGTTTATTCATCTCCTGATTGTCTGCTGAGCACCAATCTGCTCAGAAGGACGTGGCAGCCTGGTCACCATGCAAGAGGTGACAAGCAACTGCCAGACAGACTTTTTTAAAAAAATGTTAAGATATGTGTTTTATTTTATGTGTATGAAAGTTTAGCCTTTACTTATGTCTGTGCAGCAAATGAGTGAACCATGCCCATGAGGGCACTGGATACCCTGGAACTGGAGCTACAGACAGCTGTGAACCACCATGTGGATGCTGGGAATTGAACCTGGGCCCTCTGGGAGAGTAGCCAGTGCCCTTAACCACTGAGCCATCTCTCCTGTTCTATTCCTTTTATAACTCCTTTGTTTGCTCCAAAGCCAAAGAGCAGACAAATGACAATGGACACATTGTGACATTAACCCATCTGAGAAAAAGAGAGAGGTCCAAACAGGTGCACAAGTGTAGTTGAGATGTGTGCGGTTGAGGGACGTGAGATATTTGCAGTGCAAGAATTCCTTCATACTTCACAATTAACAGCAAACAAAGGGCTTGTGGGATGCTCATTTCATTGCTCTTGCAGAGGAGTCTGGATTCCAGCACTCACATCCAGCAGTCCACAGTGACACTCCAGCTTCAGGGGATCCAGCTCCCTCTTCTGGCCCCTATGGGCACCTGCACTCATGTGCAGACACTCTTCATAATCCCCCATACACATACACATAACATGAAAGTAATGCTTAATTTATTAGCAATCTGTTTTTAAAGCATCACTAGTTATTAAGTAATAACAGCTGATGCTCTCAACTAAGAAACTTAAATGGCCATCCCATGAGCATCTGCCATTGGTCAAGCCTAGGAAGACAGCAGACATGGGCCACTTTCCAGCACCAGACAGGACAGTCTGTGTCAGGAAGTGGACTGGGACTAGAACCTAACTGAATACATCCTAGTTGCAGGACCTGAGAGTCGGAAGTGACATAGAGGCTGTCCAGCGTGACACAAGTCATCAGTGAGTGACAGCTGAATTCCTGGGACTCCATTAAAGAACGACGAGGCAGACTGGTGCAAAAACCTATACACAGTACATATGACAGTTAAGGATAATTCAACTGTCTGAAAACAGACATGATAAACATATTAGAATGAGGCCCCAGAATTGTAAAAGTGTGCATTTCCTCCAGCCAATCCTAAATACAGGCTTGTGATGGCAGTTACAGAAAAGGCAATCACCCTGACCACGGGAAAGGGAATGGCCCAGGTCAGCTGGCACCAGGAACCAAGTTTGTTTCAACTGGGAGAGATATGGCTACTACTTTTTCTTGTAGCAGCATCTCCTTCAGCTAGGGCCAGAGCAGCTGTTTAAAAGCCATCCTTTGATTCTGTGATCCGAGGTGCTCAGCTTTGAACCACAGAAAGTCCAAGTGCTCATTAAACTATTTATAGTCACTACAGAGGCAGCCAGCCGGACATTCAGCAAATGACTGTTTTATAGGCTGCTGAGTCAGGTGCGTCTGAGAACGCCATTCAGGGCTGTAAAGAGCCCGCAACCCACCTTGTAGTAGTCATAGAGCAGGCCCAGTGCAGCTGCGCTGTCTTCATCTCCATTGATGCTCATCATTGCTTTAGTTGCAGCAGTGAGAGGGTTTTCCAGGAAAGACTTCCAGGCCTCATCCTCGCTGGTGTAGGAGCGCCGCTGTGGGTAAAGGGCTTCATTCTGAAGAACCAGCACTGGCCTTTTGCTTCAGAGAGAGAAGTTCAAAGTTAAATCCTCACTTCCCATAGCCAGACAGCTTACAAGCTGTAAAAACAAAACAAAACAAAGCAAAAAAAAAAAACCAAAAAGCAAAACTGAACAAACAGTTCTTTGACATTCCTATAAAATAGGACACAAGGTCCTGTGCCAAGAGATAATTACAGGTGGGAGGCAGCTCAGTGACAGGGCAACTGCCTAGCATGGCACTGGATTCCATCTCCTGCATTATACTGAATTAAATACCAGCACCTTTCCAAGGCCTGCCTGAAGAAAACTCAGTAAAGGAAATGAAATGGTGTTCATGCTCCTCTTAAAACATCTTAAAGATATTTTTGAAATAAATAAAATGCTTTTTCTAAAAGCATGTTTTAAACTACCCCATGACCCTAGTAGTCAAATGAAGACACACTCAAGACAGAGCAGACCCGAGGACCCCCATCAGAGAACCTGAGGGTGCAATTTGTCAAAACCCATAACCACCCCCAAGAAGACACAGAGCTACTCACACACAGGGACACACAAAGTACGGATGCTTTTCAAACACTGTCAGGTCGGTGCCCTCTCCCAAAGCCCACACGGAGCTCCAGGGCGCCTCAAGCTGCTACACGTGACTTCCCCCTTCCCAATGCCTATGCCATGACTTTAAAAATGCTCCTTCCCAGAACCAGGGGCAGGAAGGAGGGACCGAGGGCAGAAGGGACATTTCACTTAATCCTTCAGGGTGTATGACAAAGTTAGAAGACTCTACTGTTACTAGAAGAAGGAGCCTGGAATGTAGCCAAAGGGGAATATAAATCAATAAACAAACATAATTTTCTGGCATGGGAGTGAACTGCTTATCTTAGAGATAAACACAACCTACAACCAAAGAAGCCATCTGGATGAAAATCAGCCTTTACAAAAAACAGTGAACAAATCTGATTTAAAAATCTTCACATGGACCCCATAAAACAGACCTGGGCCCTACAGAGTGGAAGGAGACAATAGGTTCCTCTGAGTTGTCCTCTGACTTTCAGACATACACACACAGGCACACAGAGCAAACCAATCAATTAAAAACCTTCCTTAGTGGATGACATAGTTCAGTTGGTGAAGGAGCCCGTTTAAGTCTCCAAGATCCAAGAAGAGACGGGCCCTGCCAAAAGAGGGGGTGGAGAGAGAGGGAGAAAGAGAGAGAGAGAGGAGCATAAATGCAAACTAGTACAATAACATAAGGAGTAAAAAAAGGAAATCTTTGCTGGGCTTTAGGGCTTGAGGGCACAGCTCAGGTGAGCATATGATCTCTCTCCTCAGGGTCCAGGGCTTTCTGGGGTTAGTCCCTAGTGCTCCCTTTCCCCTAAATAAATAAAATCTTTATTAGTTTTTCACATCAGGCAAGGGCTATGTCACCTTAACAGTGCAGTTTGTGGGAAAAATCTGGAAAATCAATGGTAACTTTAGAGTCGCTTTTATAGGAGATTTAATTTTAAATAATTCAGGCAAACATTGCTGATTCCAAAAACTGGAAATGTCAACAGTCTCAACAACTGTTCAGCTGGTAATATTTAGTAAGTCAATAGACGGGGAAAAAATGGAACACAGACTTTAATTAGCGAGGTGAAGCGGTACTTTTTGTGTGTGTGAAGGGAAAAGAATGGAGGTGTCTGGAACTTCTCTGAATGATGATGGCTGCCTTGACAGCAGAATTTAGGGCTCAGTTCTCGTTGCAACACATGAATGAAATATGTAAACGGCCTGGAGGTGACCCTACCTTTTCTAAAAGTGAGTGTAGAAAGTCTTATTATCTTTTCAAGTAATCAGCAAAAGTTAGGGCTTGGCAGTCACCCAAATCCTTCAAAAACAGATACAGATTTAGCAAGAAAATGAAAGATGGAAGAAAGGAAGAAAGAGGGAAAAGGAGGTCATCTGTGAAATGCAGTAATTTCTCCTGCCCTCAGAAGGCTGAGTTGTTTGGAGACCAAGTCTTTAACTTGTGCCTATGAAGACGATTCTAAGGGCTTGCATCTGGAGGTGGGCTTATTATTTTGAAATTTAAAAATAGAGGCTTATCTTCACAAATCTCAAATTTTAACCAGAGAAAGAAAAATACACAAAAAGGCATTACTCAAGCTATTGGGTCTTGAGTCCAATGGTGGCACGGTACCCTGGTGAGATTCCCTGATATACAGCTGAGCTGTTACTAATAGCCTAATAACTACTTCCAAGAGATTCTCACAGCAGTTGGCTCGTTCAGCAGTCGTAATGCTAGATTTGCAAGCTTTCTGTCTTCTCCCACCTCATCCTACATTGGTACAAGCATCAAAAAATAAATATTTTCCATTGGTTTTATGTCTGCATTTTATATTTCCAAAGTATGCCTAAGGCCCAGATGTTAGCGCTGGGACTTTTGCCTTGTCAGTACATAGAGAAATAAACAGAACAACCACAGCCCACTTCTTCATGATCAGCAAGCTGTTGTTCTGGCCCTGAAGGTTCATGGGTGTTTCCAGATGAGCCTCAGACTTTCAAGAGAGCCGATCACTAAAATGAACCTCATTTTCTACAAGACAAAATTAATCTGTCGCTGATTCCACCCACCGCTAACCTCCTTCAGAAAACAAGCACAAGGGGGGAAAAAAAAATCCACCTTTAACAAGTAACTACGAAGCCAAACTGTGCTCTAGGTTTATTGAGGGCGTCTTCATACTTATAGAAAAGTTACGAGTAAAATCAAGAACCATCCTTGCCCCCTAGTCCTGCCGACGTCTTACACCACCCCAAACTCCAAAAGGCAATCCCGATTCGCAAAGAGTTCTCCCGTGTATCACCCCGCTTGCAGCCTCCTGCCCTACATGTTCACGAACGGCAGAAATTACCATCGGTGATGCGAGGGCCCAAGGACACCCACAGCAGTGTTCTCACTCAGCAGCCGCGGCGAAGAAGACGCGCGGGCAGCGGACACACCAACATTCCCCCAGATCGCTCGCTCGCTCCCGCGGCTCGGCAGGTGACAGCAGGCTGCTCGGGGTCCACCCGTCCCCGCCGAGCCGGGGGCGCGGGGCCCGGGAGCCCCGCCCGGCCCAGCCCAGCCCAGCCCAGCCGGGCCTCGAGGCCCCCGGAGCCCGCGCCGTCGCGGCGGCAGGTGCGGTGGCCCCCGAGCCCTGGCCGGACTCGCGCCCGCGCCTCACTCACTTGTCGTACTCCTGTGTCATCGCGCTCGCTCGCCGCAGCCGGGCCGCAGAACTGGACTTTCGGGTTGGGACAGTACACCCGATCCGGGGGGAGGAGGCGGCAGCGGGCGGCGCACGGCGGCAGGCGGTGGGTCCGGAGCGGCGGCCCCGACGGGTTGGGTTCGCTTTTCTCGCTCTGAGCCGGCTCGGCGCCGGCAGCGCGCACTGAGCGCTAGGCTCGGCCTCCCATTGGTTGGCGGCGCGCCGGCTAGGGGCGGGGCCTCGGGAGCTGGGGGGAGGGAAGATCCGTGTGATTGGCGGGGTAGCGGGCCGGGGGCGGAGTCCGAGGGCCGGGCGGGAGGGCGGGGGCCACGCGGTACGCGGCGGAGGCGCTGGGGAGCTTGCGCGCCGCTGGCCGCGGTGGCGCCGGGTCGCAGTGGCGCCGGCGCCGCGAGGCTTCGGCGCACACCCGCGTGGGCGCGTCTCACCTTCCAGTCCTCGCTTGCGGTCACTTCCCCGGCCCCATGGCCTTTCCCTCGGAAGTATCTTGAGAAGGTTCCGTCCTGTCTTTGCTACTGTGCAGGTTTGGAGTTTTCCTGCTGGTCCATCTCTTAGTTTCCACTGTGTGACAGTCGCAAATGTGCACAGCCCCTTAATAGCCCACTTTACCAGGGCCAGCGGTTCCTATTTATTGGTCGCCTACACGTGTCAGGGCCATTGGGCCACTCCAAGTCTCCTTACCAAGCTCCAGAGCGCCCACCCCACCCCCAGCCTCCCGGGAGCATCCCTACTTGCTTCTTCATCTGCTCAGACCTCCATTTGGGCTTCAGCGTCCTCACCTCCTAGCTGACTGTACGCAATCTTTGTCTAGCTGGCTCCAGGTTGGTTTTCACTCTCCTCCTATACTCTCTTTCCCCTAAAGACGCTCTTTTCTAAGGGTCTGCTTCTTTAACTTCAGGAGGCCTACTACAGTCCAGACAGGGTCCTAGACACAGGACCGGGCAGAGGCAGAGCACACAAATTCCCCTGCTTCCTAGAGCATCCTAGTTTGGGAGTGACGATGATTGCTTTGGTGTACGGAGAGATGGCAAGCTCTGAAGGCAGGTGAAGAGAGTATGGTGGAGCTCCGGGTTAAAGATGTCCGTGGTGAGGGGTGGGCATCCAAGGTGAAGGCACAGCTATGGATGGGATAGGCAGGACATCAGCGTGTCCACATAAGAGCATGAGAACAAAGACAACTGGGCACAGGCGGCAACAGAGCCCCGCAGGATTCTGGAAGGTCTTAACTGAGGAACCTTTATGGAGGGCTTGGGGTAGGGCATAGACCTCATTCTTGCTTTAAAATAATCTGGCTACTGAACAGTGGGGAACCAGTAGGAGACAATTTCAAAAATACAAGCGAAAGATAAAATAGTAGCCAGAAGCCTGGCCTGGGGTGATGGAGCAGTGAGAAGTGTTTGAATTCTAGATGCAGTTGTGTTAGCTAACAGGATTTCCTGAGAACCGGAGAGAAAGTTTAAAAGAGTTTCATGGAGAGATGGTGTGTCCGAAATCCCAGGACTGAGGAAGCTGAGTCAGGAGGCTTTCCAGTTTCAGGCCGGTCCCAAAGTGAAACCTTCAACAACACCACCAAAAACAAACAAACAACAACCAAAAAAAAAAAAAAAAAAAAAAAAAAAAAAAAAAAAAGAAAGAAAGAAAGAAAGAAAAAAGAATTAAGTATGAATGCAGTTTTTGTAATTGAGCAACAGGACAGAATGACTTTTGTCCCCTGAGATGGTGAGAAGCAGTGAATATGAAAGTTTAGGGGTACACAATGGTCCTGTTTAGGATGTGTTAAGTTAAAGTGCAGTTTTTGTCTGAGTAGATGGTCATGTAGATGGATGCTACACTGGTGTCCAGGAGGAAAATCTGGGCCGAAATTTGACCTTTGGCATTTGTCATCCTGAGGGTGGAATTCAAAGCCTTGAAATGTGCCTGAACCTCCAAGGCAGGGAGGAGGAAATAGGATGCAATGGACCCTGGGTCCTGGGGCCTCAGACGCTAAAAGCTTGGAGGGAGAAGAGCCAGTAGAGGAGACATCACAGACAGAGGCTGAGCTGGGAGGGAAGAAAGAGGGGGGTAGGGTGGGGCGCTGAACCAAGAAGGAAGGACCCATGCCTTTGTCCTGTGTTAGCCACCCCTCTCTTCTGCGCCCTGTCTTCTCACATCTCTAAGGCCACAGTCAGTAACCATACCTGTTTCCAGTCTCTGTGCCCAGCCCTGGTGCAATACTGGGGCCCGACCCCCTGTTCTTTCTTTACTTAATAGTTCTACATTTAAGAAAATCACACACATGCATGCACTGCTATGCACCCCCCCACACACACACTCAGAGAAAGAGGTCTCCATACTCTTGCCAGAGTGTCCCTTCATAAAGCTAACCCCATGTCACTCCCAATAAAGCCCACTCTTCCCAAGCCAGCCACTACCCTGAGATCAGCAGACTACACATCACTCACAGACTCAAGAGCATTTCCATTCACCTATTCAGAGTTCCTGAGCCTTGGCCCAGTGAACCATCCTGTGTGCCTGTGTGATCCACAGCACTTCCAACAGAGTTCCAGTGTTTACTGTGCCATCTTCCATGTACATGTACAAGATCCTTATGTGATCTTTCTCAGAGAGGACATTGTCATCACATGGTCCCCAGCACTTGGCATGGACATGGAAAATGTCCTGGAGATGGTTATTGAATAGTATCGTTGGTACCGTTGGTCCTTTCTGGCCTATCTGTGGGGCTGACAGGTGGGCCTCTCGTGTGGAGGGCATAGAGGAGTGCTGGTCCATTGGGTTCGCTATCTGACACATGGTAGGTCCCATGTAAACAGGAATGATGAAGATATGTTAGGCCATAGAGTCAGAAACAGAACAGGAAGGCCCATTGGTACCAGATATAGAAGTGGTGGTAAAAATGTATGGTCTTAGGTATGATGATGCACAACTGTAATAATCCCAGCTGTCAGGAGGTAGAGGCAGTCACCCTCGCCTATATTTCTAGTCTGAGGCCAGCCGGGGCTACACAAGACCCCGTAACAAAACAGAAAAACTGAAGAATTTAGGTCTCATCTGTAAACTTCAAGGTAGGATTATTTCACTTATTTCTAATAAAGTCTCAAGTTTAAGTCCATATCTGTGTGTTGTTAGCATTGTCCTTATTTTTACTTCAAATTCTTTTACACTTATTTATTTAGTGTGGGGGTATCTGTGGGTGTATGGGCCACACACAGCATGTGTGTGGACATGAAAGGGCAACTTGTGGGAGTTGGTTCTCTTCTCCCATTATGTAGGTCCCAGGAATTGAACTCAGGTCATCAGGCTTGCTGACAAGCTCCTATACCCCTGAGCCATCTAGAAGGCCCTTCATTATACTCAATGCTACTTTTAATTATAAAAATAATAACTACTCGAAGCTGGGTGGTGGTGGTACACGCCTTTGATCCCAGCACTCAGGAGGCAGAGGCAGGCAGATTTCTGTAAGTTTGAGGCCAGCCTGTTCTACAGAGCTACACAGAGAAACCCTGTCTCTAAAAACCAAACCAAAACAAAAGAATGGGGTGGTATTGTTGGTTTCTGCATTGCTTTACTGAGATAGAATCTGATTATATGGTCCCAACTGATCTCAAACTCCTGGGCTCTAACAATCCTCCTCCCTCAGGCTCCTGAGTAGCTGTGTCCAGACATGTCACTATGCATCCAGCTGCAGTCTTATTTTGTTTCTTTGTTACTATTGCTTTCACTGGGAGGGATGTGCTTGTGGCTGTTTATTTTTTAGACAGTCTCACTATGTACCCCATGCTGACCTCAAACTCATGATCCTCCTGTCACAGGATCTCAAAAGCTAGGGCTACGGAAATGTCACACACTGCCCAGTCAATGGCATTGTTTTTAAAAAGAAGAGCATGTCCTAAGTGATGAGTGTCAGTGGTGGAATTCATTGGGCCTCCCTCCCAGTGCAGATCCTGGGTAGCAATGGACTCTGGAAATAATGTGTCAAGGCTGGGTGCACATTGAGAGGGTCATAGAATAGGTGCTCCTGCTGGCTAGTGAGGTGCTTTCAACACAGTGTAGATGCTCCAGCTGGCTAGTGAGGTGCTCTCTCTGGGCCTCAGTAAAAGACACAGTTGGACAGGTCGTGTGTGTGTGTGTGTGTGTGTGTGTGTGTGTGTTTGTGTGTGTATGTGTGCACACACGCACGTTGGCCCATCACGCTCCTGTGTCTCAGGGCTCTAAGAACAGTTTCTGTGATGAGAATCACCCTGGATATTGCAGTTGCTTCCCAATCTGGCCCCCAACATGTATCCTAATTGACATCCCAGTTAAAAGCTTCCTACACGATGTAGCCCTATTACAGTGTGCCCTGGACCTTGTGATTCACATCTGCTGAGTTTTAGCCCCTTTCCCTGGCTCCCGCTGTGCCACTAGAATTGCTCTGAGGGGCTCTGCTCACAGTCCCTTCTAGAGGACTCAGGCTGCTTGGCCTTCTCATTAGTTTCAGTCCCATGTGACTTTTCCAGTTCAGGATTCAAATTGTAGGTCGGCATCACATTTTACCTCACGTGGCTACGTCCCTGATGGCCCTCAGTTTCCACTCGGGAAGTAGTTCTGAGTGTGGTGGAGTGAACTGGGATGATGTATTTCAAGAATACCCACAGTGGGTTGTGTAACATGAAAGCAGACGGGAGACTATTGACGTGAGTTGGTGAGAGGGGGACAATAGAGGAGACCAGGGATGGAAGTAAGGTCAAATGACACAGGTATGAAGATATCATAATGAAACCCATTACTGTGTGTGTTAGCTTTAAAAATTAAAGACACACTTAAAAAAAAAAAAACCCTAAAAAGAGCAGGGAATGGTG